ACACCTGCCCATCTGAGGATGAGTATCATGAAATGGTCAAGAAAAGTAAGCTTCCATTCAAACTTAAACTTGTCTCCTACTTTTGATTTAGCCCTACTAAGCCCTATTTTCTCTCTTTGTGCTAGTGTTTTAACAAAAAGTTTGTGTACATTGGAGCTGCATGTAACTATACAGTCTTATAAATTACAAATGACTGTGAATATATGAATATCCTAAATGTGAACTGCAGATTAAGAAATGAATATGCAGAAAGCAATCTTCACAGTAACAAACACTATTTAAGCAGTACTGGATTTGAACCCAATGACCTTGTTAACTCAGTTGGTAGAGCACTGCACTGGTATTACAGACATCATGGGTTCAAATCCAGTACAGGCCTGAATCTTCTTTCAGGCCTTATTACATTAGTAGTGTTTATTACTGCATACATTGCTTTCATATACATATAAATTATATGCAACTTCTGGAAGGATTTCTTTTTCCAAGGAGGAGATGTACACTTTCAACTGAATCATAATATTATTTTGACCTGTGGAACTTTGATGAGGCCAATAACAAATATTATTGATCCTCCAAATTTACCTTCTGACACTCCCTACATTTGACTTTATACAAACTAACAGCTCCCAATAGCAGTCGACTTTCCTTAGCATCTTCACTGGAGGCGTGAAATGTTAAGAATTTCTTTAATCACACATACTGTTGCAGTTGAAAATGTCTACGACATATTTTGTTGGATGGCTTTGTTATGGATTTTAGAGACAGGAGGCCTTTTTAGATTGGCTGTGAGGCTGATGCAATCTTTCAGTGAAAATAGAAGGTGATCTTTTATTATAATTCTTAGACATAACCTTTCAATAAAATACTTGGAATTCTCTTGAGACATTAATGGGAGTACAGTACAGAGGAGATAAGAAAACAGTGTGAGTAAAATTTCCCATGTCAGCTAGAGAATATAAAATCACGACATTTATTGATTGCAATTGCTTCCATATTAGATTCAGGCAGCCAATGCCTTTTGTTTAAATTTTTTGGTCGAAAAAATTTAATGTTAAAAAGGTCGCTTTGAAATGTTTAGTTCCTTTTTTGTTTGTTGGATGGTTTGTTACTGGACGTTGTCCAACTATTTTCCAAACGTGGTAACAAACACATTGTAGACAACTGACTGTTACCTTTTCTTGTCACAAATCCACATAATTTTCAAATAAATCTTCACTCACTAATCTCTTCGCTTGTCTTAACCACATTTATCAAAGTAGCTTCTTGTATAATTTCAGTAACTTCGTTCCATTACTGGATACACTCGCCTTGTTTTTCCAAATCAGAGATGACTATGCCAACTTACTCTCGGAAGAGGTAGGAAGTGAATTGATTAATCGTAAATAATCTTTTGGTTACATTTCTTTGCGTATGTCAAATATGTAAGTGAATGAAATTTAACCCATTTTTCACTTTTGCTCTTTTCACAACAGTACAAGGAAAACAAAAGTTTTTGTGAAGACCTAACGGATGGGAAGTTTTCATTTCCGATCATTCATGCCATCCGCAGTGACTCTGAAAGCACCAGAATTTTGAGTATCCTTTTTGAAAATGTGTCTTTCAGTAGCCCCTCCTAAGTTCATTAAAGTTCTCTGGGGAGGTGAGTATGATCTTAAGAGCAGAGGGGAAGGGTTGGGGGGGGGGGAAGAGGGGGCCTCATGCAAAGGAAGAGGGTTATTTTCAGGAATGCCTCGCACATTGTGGTCGTGTATTGCGCCCGAGTCAGAAAAATCCTCACATAGACGACGCATCGACGACTACGGCGTTCTGCTACGTGGGAAGTCACAAACGAAGCGAAGTAAGAGAAGATTTAGGGATTCGTAAGAAGGTTTTGCTGTGTTATCTTTGTTACTAATTGGTCACGGCTAAGTAGCCTTAAGAATACGAGTTATTTTGTTTGTTTTGCTTGTTTTTGTTTGATAATTCGTGTGTTCGTTTTTCGGGCTAGAGGAGGCATGCGCGAGGCGAGCGCCATGTGCGAGTCAGGCGCGAGAGGAGGAGCATTTTATCGACCACATGCATTGGCACATGACTCACTTTTTGCGCTTGCCTTGTGTTTCCCTTTGCCTTGAAACGAAAAAAACATTGAGCCCGAGACTGCAGACTGTGGCTTGCCGGCGACAATAGTGCTGTTTTCCTTGAGACCACGGCCGATTATATGCGACCCTTTTTTTAAACTACAGTAGCCTAATTAATGATTAACAGATCTCATCAAAATTGTTAAAATTCAAAACCTTAATTCCCCATTGCTTAGATATTTTGAGACAGAGGACAACTGACGTAGACATTAAGAAGTATTTTGTAGATTGTTTAGAACAGGTGAGTGAGACATGCTTTGACCAAACTTGTGGTCAGTACTGACATTGAGCACGTACTGTGTTATCAATGTAATAATGTGTTTGTTCGCTTGCTTATTTTCTGGCAGATTGGCTCATTTGCGTACACTAAAGTAATACTCAGGCAAATGGAGGACAAGTAAGTAGAAGCCCGTGATAATTCGGTCAATGTCGAAAATGCTCAAACGTGTGATACAATTACAGAAAGGTCTGAGGTTCTATTCCTCATGGGAACCCAGAAGTTTTTCTTTGTCCCACGCTCGTAACAAGACGATAACACATCTTTCTCTATTTCTTTACCGAGCCCAAAAACTTACCATCTCTCTTATTCTATTTACAAACTTGACGTTATCAACATTGCTGATCCTAGCAGTATGCAGAACTTCGTAATAGACCTCGCTCACCTTAGAGTCTCTGTGGCTCAGTGGAAGAACATCATAGCGCAGAATCTCAGGGTCTGAGGTTCGATTCCCGGTGGGGACTCAGAAGTTTATCTTTGTCACACGCTCGTGAAGAGACGAGAAAACATCTTTCTCTATTTCTTTACCGAGCTTAAAACTTACCATTTCTCTTAATTTATTTGCAAACTACGGAAGGTGTTGCTATTTAAAAAAAATCTGTACTTGACTGAGCCAGGTAGCACCTTTGGAGCAATGTTTTTTAAATTGTCTCAATGTAATTTGTATCGGGTAGTTATGCGACGACTTGCATTAGATACAAGGTTTCTCTGTTTTCATTTGTGGTTTTTTTTTGTTTCGTTTTGTTTATTTTTTGCTGCCAACGAATATATGAAATAAGTAAATATGTCTTACCAATTTATCGTGACGTATGAAAATCGTTTTAATTCGTTTTACTTTTCAGATCTCAAGCACTGATCGCAGATTTGGGCGGAAATCCTCAACTTTCAGCTATAGTTAAACAATTGGCAAAACTTTATTCCTAGGAACTTTTTTTAGAAATAAACTTTAAATAAAACAAATTATAAGTGAATAATTAGAGAAAGACATTACATCATAGACAAATGATTTTAATTGAACGACATAACAGCTTCATATAATGAGAAGAAGGAAAGGTAATGAAGTCGGAATGAATTTGTACGAGTGTGTATCATCATCCTTTTTTCCCACATTAAAATGTTAACTGATTTTCACACTATCACCCGGATTGTCCTCGCTTGCGAACAGTGCTGCACCACTTGAAAGAAGACAGATGGACAATCCTCAACATACACGAGCGATCTTGGTTTGTTGTGGTTTGCATTTAATCATTGTATCGCTTGGTACATTTTCGACAATTACTTTCTGTCGCATTCAATTGGCTATCGATAGGGATCTGTGTTTGCGTTGGTTCTGCTTCACTGCGGTCTACAATTGGATTTCAAAGCCACGCTACTCCTTCAACTAATCAAACGTGTCGCTTTGATTTCAATAGTTCCTTTTAAACTAGGGAAATCGACGTAATGCAGATGCTCTTACATCGGACCCAAAAAACGAATCCAATCTAATACTCTTGTTGAATCGTCTCGGGGTAAGAAGTGTTTGGTTTTCGTCTCTCTTTTAGCCATTATTTGAATTTTGAGTCCACGGTTATTCAAAGCATAGCCCTTGTAACGAGTGTCTGTTTGACTGAGAATCGATTTATATGATTGTTTTGTAATCCTTATGTGAGTCCTGTGACTCTGGAGCCTGCAAGCCAGTACGTATGGCTTCTTCTTGTAAGTGATTCGTCCTATGCCGTCAATAGGGTTTAGTGGTTAAACAGAATCTTCCATTGCTGGAAAATTTTTATACTGACCTTCATTCGAACTCCCACCTGGCTTTCGTTCTTGAAGATTGACTGTTTAGGTTAAAGTATTTAGCGTGGTTTGCTTTAACAGCTCTTCTCTCTATCCATGCTCGTTACAACAATTGTCGCTAATTTAGAGGGGACCAGCATTTTATTGTCTACAAGACTCTGCTCTTTCTTAATCTCTAGCGGTCTGTACTTTTGCATTTTTTTCTCTTGTAATCTTTTTTCTTTTTTTGATAACTTTGTTCGAATAGAACCAAATGCAAGAAATGAGTTGATAATCTTGATTTCAGTTGTTTCCATTGATTTGTAACCTGTTTCACTCGAGTGTTCGGTTTCACCAGCTAACGGCCACCTCGGTGAGAAACGCTTTTTCCTTCGTCAGGATGAAAATAACCCATGCCTTGGTGTGATGGGAATAAGCTTTCATAGCTACCATCTAAGACTTTTTATTTCACAAAAGGCAATAGCGACTCCGATTTGTAAGATTCATGTACCTGGAGGCGTCTTTAAGAAGAACTGCATGAAATTAAACATTGACTTCCGGCAAACCTCAGAAGCGGGTGGCCTCTTTCACATGCCATGATATCGCACCGTTTTGACAAAGAACGACCTGTGTCACCAAATTAAAGGTGAAATATCGTCCGTGGTGGTTTGGTCTGGGGGCTTTTTAATGTTGAGGGATTCTACGCCAATGTGAACAGAGAACACTTACAGTTTAATTCAATTTCTTCCAGCAAGTTCTTTGTCAAACAACAGACATAATTGGCAGTGGAGATATTTATTGGTAAACTTTACATAGGGCATCAATTAGTAATAGTGTAAGTCGAGGCCTCGCTCAATTGTGTTTAGCAACCTTTATAATCTAAAAGGTCGATACTGTCGGAAGAAAAAGATCAGTCACTGTCGAGGTTCCAATCACAGGTAAGGAAAGGACAGTATCTTGTGAGATGAGTGGATGGTTCGCGATAGTTTTTGTTTTGGTGACATCGTTCCTTCTGGTGGCCGGAAACAAACCCAACAACTGCGGTGTCTATGGTCATTGTTCCACTGATAAAACAGATTCGAAGGAAAATTTGAACAACTTTGGGGCAAACTCGAATTTTGAGAGGAAAAGAAGTCAAGTTAATCAAACCAAAAACTATGTCAAGGAAGAAATATCTTCAAAGAGGGACGACACTTTCACAGATGTGCTTAAAAACCTCTTAGCTAAGGTGGACAAGGCCAAAACTGCAATCACAAACTTGAATAGTGTACCTCAAAGAAACGCTTCTTCTACCGTAAAACCGGTAACGAACCCCGTCAACGTCTCCAAAACAACCGCAGCCCCCGGCACCAGCACTCCCCCAACTGTTCCAACTACGCTAAGCTCAAGTTCCACTTCCGGAAGTACAACCTCGTCCTCGGTCGGAAGTGAGGCCACTACGACTGCGGCACCCACCGTTACAAGCTCTCCAAGCCCTACCCCTACGACCCCGGCCGTGAAACCTACGGGCAACGCCTCGTGTAGTGGAGCTTTAGGGGCTTGTGCTGGTGGTGTGCCTGTGGTGATACCCGGTAAAAATAACATCACTATTGCTCCTGGGGTCGTTTTAACTCCAAATGGTGAAATTATCTTAACTCCACACCTTCCGCTGTTGCCGGGGGCTGGTCAAACTCCAGGAAGTAAACCTTATCCCGGGACCTTTCCCGCTTTATTAGCCGGGTTAGCCGCAGCAACCGGGTCAGTAGGAGCTACAGGAGGTGTTACCGCGGTGGCTAGACCAGGAGCTCCCCAAACGTCCTCCATTGCTCAACAAAGTAAGTAAAATTGTCAGAAGATCGTCTTATTTAATCCTTAAACTAGGCGTGGTTGAGAGGTGAAACAGAGCTCAGTTGGGGTTTGTTACTTGAATCAAGCCAAGTGAAGGAAGGCGGCTCCTTTATTCGAACTAAGGGAAAGAGAAATTATTCAGTTTGAAGTTAGATGTCTGAGAAAAATCTGCTGCTTAACAAATATGACCCTATTGTGTGAAATTTTCAAGGACTGCCAGCTTTAGGGGAGGGTTAATAAAAGACTCAAAACTATTCCGAGTGGGATGATGGGTACTGACACCACAACGATTAAGAGGTGTCAATTCTGATGTAATACAGCAAAGCCAAAATACCATAATATGAGTTAAAAACGTAAAGACAAATATAGTCTTAAAACCTGAAGAAGCCAAAGGTACGAGGAAGGCAAGAATGAGAAGCAACACAGACACAGATTGCATTTAAATAATCTTGAAAACACCAACAATTAAAAACTAATTTGCGAAGTTGTCTTTTTTACAGGTCCATGTGTCAATAACTTCAATAGTTGTCAGGATTGGGCTGCTAAAGGAGAGTGCACTAAGAACTCACCGTTTATGATGGTAAACTGTCGACGTAGCTGCACCAACTGTGGTGAGAAAATAACCAATAATGTGTGAGGTTTTTATTGTGTAAATTGATTTTCGCGAAAAATGTTGCAGACTTACATATTCTGTTTTATGTTATTCTTCACCTGAATGAAAATGTGTTTTCCATGTCATCTCTGACGTTTTAGTTGTTGTTTTTCCCATGCAGCAAAGTGCGAAAACAGCCAACGGCAGTGCATTGATTGGTCAAAACATGGAGAATGCAGCAAGAACAGGCCATATATGGAGCAAAAATGCTGGCGAAGTTGCTCGAAATGCGGTCAGTAAGAAAAAAAAAACCTCAACTGAGGAAAGAAAAATCTGTTCTTGTTCCGGTTCTTATCCCATGCTTAATGTTTTCTAGTCGACTCCCATAGTCAGTTTCAAGTCTTTTTTTGTCACAGACAGATAGAGAAACGCTAGCGTTGCCACGAAATTCAAGAAATGACAAAGCTCAGTAAAGTTTGATAATTCAAGGTTGGAAAAACTCAGCCAAATAACGTCGCCATATTGTATAGCAGACTTGCAACGAGTGTTAGGGAAGAGACCCAGGGGGCATATGACCCATTTTTGCAAAAAAGGACAGTTTGTATATTTATTTAAGGAGCCTTCTTATCCAAAAATAATTTTCAAGGCTATCGTGATTTCCCCGTCTTTTAGCAGTTCAATTACAATGTAACTAACACTGACTTCATTTTATTCAAAAGCTCCTTGCGTAAACAAATTTCCTCACAAATGCATCACATGGGCTAAAGATGGCAAATGTTCATCAAACAGAAACTTTATGGAAATGATGTGCTGGAGAAGCTGCTCAAATTGTGGTAAGAGGAAACTGGATTGCTTGAACAACTGTCTACTGCATCCAATCAATAATTGGAATAGAAAATGAGAAGCGACTGATCGCTCGCCTGACCCTTTGACTGATCGGCAAAACGGACACCCCGGCAAAATGTTTGCTTGATACACTAAGTTTCTTGAAATGCCATGTTGTGACAAAGTAGATCACTCTTTTTCTTCGCTAGAATTGCAGTTCCTGGGTGGTTGATACGCTTTATTACAGATCATAGAGATTGGGTTAAGGCCTTAGCGGTTATTATGCTGCATTCCAGAGCAGGATGTTTAATCTCACAGCAACCTTGTTCCATCGTGACAGATAAGTTAGGTTCCGAAAATTTCAAGGAACATGGCAAACTGCCGGAGGTTACCTGAGATGAAAGAGATAAAAGAGATGAGACGCAGCATTATAGCGTTAACTCGCTGAACTCGGGATCAAACGGTTCGGGTACAAAGCCCTCGAAATCCCTGTGCTCTTGATTAGGACACTCAAAACTCCCCTCTTCACTCAGGACTGAAAATTGTGTCGGCAAACTGTCAGGAAAACCTAGAGTACCTTACTAAGAGCTGGGCGCTAACCCTTCAATGGATCATTTCTACTAGTTAGTCGAATAGGTTTCCTACCTTTCTTCACATTTCAATTGTTTTCACAATTCAGTTAAATGCGAGAACAAGCGAGATGGATGTGTGGATTGGGCTGCAGATGGGCAATGCACTAAGACTGCTCCTTTTATGTTAGAAAACTGCTGGAAAAGCTGTTCGTTTTGTGGTGAGTTACATTTTATAGGTTTTGATGATAATCATTACTATTATAGCGATTCACTCAACATTAAGGCTCCTTTCTCAAAAGGATGGCCCGAATTTAATCTCCTCTCTTGTTGTAACTCCACTCCTAAGAGAAATATCCATTGATGGAGTAAAGTCAGAATGAAAGCTGAAGCTGGTGTTGAAATTATGCGGAAACCGTTAATAGTGTTGATAAAACTGTCACTATGATACTGCGAGTTAAAGACTGCAGTAACTGTCATCAAAATGGACGACAATGTCTTTCAAGGGAA